CTGGAATCTCTCAAGCATCAAGGCTATAGAAGCTGTGACATTTTGGTAGTTGTACAGTTGGCCCTCTGTAGCCACAGATTCAACCAATGATGGCTTGTAAATATTTGGGGGAGAAAATTCCAAGAAGCAATCTGAGGGACCACTATATTCCAAAAAGTTTCTTTTCTAAGCTCTGTCTTCTTTATGTGGGGTTGTAATACTTGAATTAATACTTTGAGCCATAGAACAGGCCATAGTTCCCTCAGTTAATTAATTGATTAGTCCATTAAGGGCATGCTTGATAATTGACTTAAAACCTTTAATTGGTTGACATACCTTTAAAAACAAACAGATGTGAGAAGAAATGCAGGAAAACTGTATATAAATACATTGCTTTAGCCAGCTCTTTAGCTAAGAATTTTTAGTTATTGTGAGTGGCTATTGCAACTTTAAATCTACATTCTTGAATGTATTTTGAGCTGGTCTGGCTCAGCTATCCTGGCAGAGAAGGTTACATTATGTCAGGAGCATTGGAATATGTGTCCCATGACTGGAAAGGACCAGTTTCCACAGACATCTGGATTAGAAAAGATAGAAACTATTTGACTATAACCTCAAAAGTACAGCTGGATGGAATGGAAATCATTACTTCTTTAATGTGAAGAGAGAAAAATGTCCTTTGAAATTTGCTTATTAGAAGAGTAGAGTTTCCAATGAGATGCTTGAAAATGAAGGATGCCTTTATTATTGGTGAGAAGTGTTGCTGACAGGAAATATTCCCCAAGCCAACCCAGGACTTCAAAAATACAGGCACCCCAAATGAGAGAAACCACTTTAAAAGCCTGTTCTTCATCCATACCATTTTGGAGGGGGTATATTGTCTGTGGTACAGAGAATCAAGCTACTGAAAGAGAGCTATGTTCAATTTTATTAATACAGTGCGCCCACACCATATGTGGGCTTGACAGACACAGACACAAGGTCACATGGACAGTGAGCCCCCGTAGAGTGAATGGGGTGCCCCCCGTAGTGCATGCCCTGCACCGTGTGCAGGAGTGCACACCCATTAAAACAAATAGGACTTGAGGTCCTGTGTTATTTGCCTTATGTGGGGTGGGTGGATGGGTCCAAAATAATAATAATAATAATAATAATAATAATAATAATAATAAAATTTATTTGTATCCCACCCCTTTGAGATTCCCCATGTATAGGAAGGGACTACTGTAACTTTGAAGCTGGAAGTCAAATTATAGAGAATTTTCCTAGAATTGTGTACAAAATGGCCTTCCCTCTTTTGGATGAGATGAATGTTTTCTTAAATTAATTTTCATTAGGCACTCTTTGATCTGTTACAATGGCTGATTTAATATAAAGACCCCTTTTGGGGTCTCTGCCATGGTCCTGGACTGAAAGAGCCCCTACCACCATGGACTCAAGGCGAGCACGTCACGTAGGCATCTGAAAGGTCACATCTGTACTTACGTTGATTTACAGATCAAAAGGGCCAAACCTAGGAGCTGCTAAGCAGAACATTCACATCTAGAGGATTTATGAGTGACAGCCAGGATGTGTTCGGCTGAAGATGAGATAACATTAGCATCCTGTCTCCTCTCCTTGGAAATTGTCTACTTCAAAGTGTAGCAATCGGAATCCTTTGATATACAATAGCATCTCTTTGCCTCAGGCTAGGTTTAAGGGTATAAATGATCTCCAAAATCTCAGGCACATTGGGGTCTGGCTAGATATCATGCTGACACTGAGCTAGTGTGAACTCAGACGAGAGTCTGGGGTGACACTGCGCCAGTGTGAACTCAGACTAGAGTCCTGGCTCTTTCCATTGTCCTTTCCTCTCATAATGGTTGTTTATCCATCATCATTCATCATTGGAGCAGCCTCCTTCAGGTAATTATCACAATTAGAAAGCTTTGTGTTTCCTATCCAAGCTAGCTACTTTACTCATGAGTTATTGTGTGTATGTTAGAATATCTTTGTATGTTTGAATCCCCAAATAAATTACAGTTAATTGGAAAGCTTTGTCTCTATCAGTCTATTCCCTAGCCACCTCCGAAAACATAGGATAGAAGACTTGGACTTTAGTAATTCCCTAAGTTCAAGGTCCTCATTACAGATCCTTTCAAATTTTGCTGGTGAGCTATTGATTCCTAGTAAATCAAGTGGGAGAGTCAGTGTGGTATAGTGGCTTGAGTGATAGACTATGATTCTAGAGACCAGGTTTCAAATCCCTGCTTGGCCATGGAAACCCACTGGGTGACCTTGGGGAAGTCACACTCTATGGCCTCAGAGGAAGGTAAAGACAACCCCGTCTTAAACAAATTTTGCCAAGAAAATCCCATGATAGGGTCACCTTAGGGTCACCATAAGTAGGAAACAACGTGAAAGAACACAACAATAACACCAAGTAGGGCTGGTTAGATATAGTAACTATCTGACATGTGGGGATCTGGGAACTCAACTGCACATGAATATTTATGTGCCATGCCCATGAAAACCCAGAAACTGGCAACTGCCACAAGACCTACACCAACCTCATTCTGATCTCTCTAGGAGCATTTGAATACATTTACTACACTTTTGCTTTCTCATCTGCGAGTTCAAAATTTGAAAAAGCCAACAGATATTCTTCTTGGGAAGATATTAAATAAATAAATAGGTTCAGAGGGTTATGTGTTAATGTAGTATGCTATGCTTTATTTTTAAATTATATTTTAAATGTGCATCCAATTGTTTTAATTATGTACTTTTTAGAGATCCAACATGGTATATAACAATTTGAGTGTTGGACTAGGACTCCAGGAGACCAGGATTTGACTCCCTACTCAAACACGGAAACTCAGTGGGTTGCCTTGGGCAAGTCACACTCCATTGTAAACAAACCTTGCCCAGAAAGCCCCATGTTACATTTGCTTTATGGTAATAATAATAATAATAATAATAATAATAATAATAATAATTTGTATCCTGCTTCTCCTTGTTGAGGATTGAGGTGGGTAACAGCAAAAATTAAAACAAATACAGAGATAAATAACAAGAAACAATCCCTGAACCCCCACCCCTTCACCCCACCCGCCCTAAAATATAAAATTATAATAAAATCCCTATAACTAAAAAACAATCAAAACAGTTAATAATAGTAGAAATGTTTAGGGGAGGTAGGTCACATGAACAGTTAGCTCTGTCCAAGGCAGAGGCCAGTCTTGGAAGGCCCGCCAGAAAAGAATCGTTTTTATCATTTTTTAAAAATACGTCAAGAGATGTAATCTGGCGAGTCTCCTCTGGCAAGTCATTCCAAATTTTAGGAGTGGCAACTGAAAAGGTCCTCTGGGAAGTCACCACCAGTCTAGTTTTCCTTGATTGTAGTAAATTCTTCCCAGAGGACCTGAGAGTGCAGGAAGGATTATATGGGAGGAGGCGTTCCTTCAAGTAAGCTGGACCCAAGCCATATAGGGCTTTATAGGTAATAACCAACAGCTTGTACTGTGCCCAGAAGCTAAGAGGCAGCCAGTGTAAAGATTTCAAAATAGGTGTTATCCAGTCAAACCTAGATTTTCCTGTGACCAGTCTGGCTGCCATGTTTTGTACCAGTTGAAGCTTCTGAACATGGCACAAGGGTTGCCCCATGTAGAACGCATTACAGAAATCAAGACAAATCAGCACATGTACAACCATTTCTACAGCTCCAGGTAGGGTCGCAGCTGGCTTATCAGCCAAAGAAGATAACAGGCACTTTTAGCCGTTGCATCAATCTGAAATGACAATTGAAGCGGCAAATCCAAGAGCACCCCCAAACTGCTAACACAGTGCTTTAGGGGAAGTGTGACCCCGTCCAGGACTGGCAAACTTAACTCCATACCCAGGCTAGGGTTACCTATTACAAGTATCTGCATTTTGTTTGGATTCAGCTTAAGTTTATTTCCCCTCATCCAATCCATTATTGACCTCAGGCAGTCATTCAGAGGAGAGAGACTCTCCTTGATCACTGAAACAGTCCGAGACATAGAGAAATAAATTTGGATGTCATCAGCATACTGATAACATCCCCCCCCCATGTCTCCAGATGATCTCACCCAGCAGCTTCATGTAAATGTTGAAGAGCAAGGGGGACAGGATGGTGTCCTGAGGGACACCAGATGTCAGCTCTTTTTTAGAAGAGCAGTTGTCCACCAGCATCACCATCTGGAATCTGCCCAAGAGGTAGGAATGGAGCCACTGCAAAGCAGAGCCCCCAATTCCTCTCTCAGGCATTGGATACCATGGTCTATGGCAGGGGTAGGCAACCTTTCCCCTTTAAGGGCTGAGGGACTTCAGCTCCCAGAAGCCTCAGCCATGTTGGCCAATAGTCCCATGTTGGCCAATAGCTCTTGGGTTCTGGGAACTGAAGTCCCTCAGCCCATAAAGGGGAAAGGTTGCCTACCCCTGGTCTATGGTATCGAAGGCTGCTGAGAGGTCCAAGAGCACTAACAGGGCCACACTTCCCCTGTCGATGCACAGACAGAGATAATTGATCAAGGTGACCAGTCTCCACTCTGCATCCTGACCTGAAGCCAGTTTGAACTGGATCAAGATAATCAGTTTCATTCAAGACTGCTTGGAGTTGATTTGCAACCACCCTCTTGATCACTTTGCTCAAAAAAGGAAAAAGAGATATCGGCTGGCAGTTATTTTTATCCAGGGGATCAAGGGAAGGCTTCTTTAATATGGGTGTTACTACTGCTAGTTTTAAACTAGTTGGGAAACAGCCTTCCCTGAAGGAGGCATTAATGATAGATTTTAACAGATTCATAGTTGCCTCACCTCCCAGGTTGACCAGTCAAGATAGGCAGGGATCAAGAAGGCAAGTGGTCTTTTTTACCTTTCCAAGCAGCTTGTCTACGTCATCAGTACTCATAGCTAGGGAATTCTGGGAACTGGGAACTGTAGTTTTATGAGACATTGAGCTTTCTCTGTCAGAGAGCTCTGGTGCCACAATAAACTACAGTTCCCAGAATTCCTTAGTACTGAGCCATGGCAGTTAAAGTGGTCTCAAATTGGATTATTTCTACAATGTGTTTTGGACCCTTGTTTCTATTCTGTTTTTAATATTGTGATTGTATTGTACATTGGTTAGCATCCTATTAATAAATGTGCCAATGTAATGCTGGTATGTCCCCATATGAACCTATCAGAGCCCCAAGATCTTCAGGAGAAGGCTTTCTCTTGGTCCCAGCCCCATCACAGGCTCACTTGGTGAGGAC